AGCTTCAAGATAAATAAAGTAATGTTTTAGTAAGGAAATTTGGGGAAATTTTTAGTCCTGCTGGGCAGGACAAGCAGGACCGCTAGCTACGCCACTGCAAGTCGAGTGTTTTGTTTTGCCAGTAAACTGAGCTCGTTAAATGCAACACCTCGTGAAAAGCAGGAAGGCAAAGACATAAATATATATATATATATATATATACAGGGTGTATAAAGAACTGAACAGATTTGAAATTCGCAAAACAGCCATTAATATCTAGTTTTTGATGTATATAGCTTCTTTGGGTACTTATAAGGTAGAATAATGAAAAAAAATTCTCGAACTCAAATTTTGTGAACCAGGGGGGGTGTCTTTTCCAACAAACTAAAAATGGCTTCCGCACGAAATTTAAAATAGTCTAGGACCTGTATATGATAAGTTTTTAAACGTTCTCTGGTTTTTAAATATTTATTATTACGAGCTTTCGACTGCCAGTCTGCAGTCTTCAACGGGTGGATTACAATGAGAGTGTGACAATTACAACGGTTTACAATTACATATAGATACAAAATGACAGAAATATGACAGTTCCGCCTACATACAAGATTAATGACTTAAATTACAGATAGATTCAGAGTTTTTTGCTAAGTAGAAAGCGATCATGTTCCGGTAAATGTTTTGAATTGTTGTCGGAGTTTTTTGTGCATGCAGTGTGCCACGATTCAAGTGTTTCTCTGTGCCGATAGTTGCCTTTGTCAATTATTTCCCCGCTATTGAAATCTATTCTATGGTTGTTTGTCCAAGCGTGATTAGCGATATTTGAACCAATTTTATAGAGCTCTACATTTCTCCTGTGTTCCTTTCGTCTAGTGTTGAACGCTCTGCCAATTTCGCCAATATAACTCCATGAGCAATCTGCACAATTGATCTTGTAGACCACGTTATTTAGGCCTTTAATGTAGGGAAGGACAGCGTAGCTGTAACTAGACTGCGGCTCCACGAGATCAAAAAACTCTTTTACCAACTCCCCAGGCTCAGGCGATGACGCTTTTTCTTGTCTTATTGCTCGTTTCCATTCGACCTCTTGCAAGAATTTCCGGGGGTATCCATTTAACAGTAAAGCATCAGTTATGTGTTTGTGTTCCTGTTGTTTCCCTTCATTTGTGTTGGGCAATGTTGCTGCCCTGTGTAGTAAAGTTTGTGCAGTGCTAACTTTGTGCTGTTTGTCGTGGTGTGAATTATAGTCTAAGTATCTGTCCGTGTGTGTAGGTTTTCTGTAAACGTTAATCAGTAAAGATCCATTATTGCGTGTTACCGAAGTGTCGAAGAATGACAGTTTTCCGTCTAGTTCCTGTTCCATGGTGAACTTGATATGTGGGTCAATGGAATTAAGTAAATTATAGAAAATGGTTAACGCATGTTTTTTGATGATGGAAAAAATATCATCGACATAACGAAACCATTTCTTAGGCGGTGATGTAGATTGACTATGTGCTGGCTCCTCGATTTCCTCCATGCAGAGGTTAGCCACAACCTAGCTCACGGGGCTACCCATAGCACAACCATGGATTTGTTTGTAAGACTGCTTGTTATAGTTGAAAAAGCTATTGGAAAGCGTGAAACGTAAACGTTTGATAATGTCACCTATAGAAAGTTTTGTTCTGTGTTTCAAAGTTGTGTCTTTATTAAGTTTGTTGCGAATATGTTCACATGCTCTGTCAACAGGAATCGCTGTGAATAGCGATACCACGTCAAAAGAAACCATGATCGTGGATGTTAGTTTCGTAAGGTTTCTCTGCAAATTCAGTAGAATTGTTGACAGAGTAGCCATTGTGGTTTTGAAGTGGTGAAAGTATGTCTGAAAGGAATTTGGAAGTGTTGTAAAGTGCTGTGTCCCTACAAGTAACGATAGGTCGAAGTGGGTTATTTGGTTTGTGGTGTTTGACGAAACCTCGAATGGCGGGTGGTATGCCATCAGTAGAATGTAGTTTTTTGTACGTGTGTTCGTCAAGTTTCTGTTCGCGTTTTAGTTGAAGTAATTCGGCTGGTTTAATTCGCGTTCGATTCTTTTGAAGGGGGATTTAGAAACTTTCTCATAGTTGTTTTTATCTTAAGCAATTCTTGCATTTTATCATCATAGTCGCTTCGATCTATAACAACAAAACAGTTCCCTTTGTCCGCTTTCATTACGATACGGGTACTTTTCTTAGATTATCAATTGCTCTGCGTTCATTCGTCGTAATGTTTTTTGTGGTTTGGGAGTCGGGATCGTTGTAGAAGGTTGGCTGCCGATGTTCGGATAGCGTCTTTGGATTCGTCAGGTAGTTTAGTAATCGCATCCAGCTTCGATCTCTGCAACGATATTCTTATAGGGAATTTGTAACGGCGCTGGTGCGAATTTGGGGCCTTTTTTCAGGATGGATTGTTCTGTGGCGGATAAAGGTTTGCTGAAAAGGTTGACTACCCATTTCTTGGACTCAGACGTAATTACGGTTGTGTAATTTCTTGTCGTGTCTAGCGGAGATATTGTTTTTGGACAGCTTTCGCTCTGTGCTTCAGGAATTCGGTGAGGCGAGAATAAGAAGAGTCTTTCGAGATTAAGGTCGACAGCTTCTTTCGATTTTCAACAATGATGTGGTTAGTTGATCGTATATGTTCGTGACAGATAGTGATTCTTGCTCTCATACAGTGGGTACTTGTACGTTCCATGATGCGTTTGAATACAGGGTGGTTACCGGGAGCTTTGAATCGAAGTGACTTGGGGAACCAACGATTTTCTAGTGCGCGATGAGTGAAATGTAGATGAAGGTGGTGTGCTTCGAGTTTGAAGGTTGACTTTTCCAAGGATCTTGCTAACTTGCTAACTCTGAATCAAATTGATTGTTATTCTCTAATGTATTGATTTCAATGCGAACCCTTAATTCACAACATCTGTAATTTAAGTCATTAATCTTGTATGTAGGCGGAACTGTCATATTTCTGTTATTTTGTATCTATATGTAATCGTAAACCGTCAGTGGCGTAGCTGGCTAAAAAAAATCGTCCCGCCGAAGGCGAACCCCTCGCACCGAAGGTGGGACCTTCCTATAGGGGTTCGGGGGCATGCCCCTCCGAGAAAATTTGAAATCTAGAACCTCGGAAATGGCATTTCCTGCGATTTCGACGGTGGAAGGATGTCACTAAACAAAGTTTCCATACACCTCTAACAGGAGTATTTTCCCTTCGTAAAATACAAAAAATGCCATCTGGCCGAGAGAAGATCTGTGTGAGCTCAGAGAAGTGCTGTGCTAGGTAAAAATATTGCCCTCTGCACTGAGTCTGCAGCACAACGAATAATTGATCACTGCACCTCGTATAATGTCTCAAGCACCGCGTATGATGTTGAAACCACAGCAAGTAGTTACAGCACTGCGTATAATGATAAAACCACTGCGTACAATGCTGAAGGTACCGCGTATAACGTTATACCGACCGGATATAATGTCTCAAGCACCGCGTATAATGCTAAATGTCTCAAGCACCGCGTATAATGTTAAAAGCACCTCGTATAATGTTGCGTGTAGCCCATACATAATGTCAAAATCATCGCGTATAATGCTCGAACTCGAAGCACCGCGTATAATGTAAAGAGCCCCTTGTATAACGATAAAAGCACCACATATATAATGCTAAAAGCACGGAATGAAATCACGGTTAATAGACTAAGAGAAGAAATGAAATTCCGCTATGACTTTCCATAAGGTTCGTCACGCTCGTTGAAGCCATTGTACACAAATCACAAAAGCAATATCAAATATGATATGAATAGTAATATGATAATAACCTACCACCGTCACAGTCGTGAATACTCGCGCAGAAGCTACGTCAGAAAGGTTTGAATATTAACAACCTCCGCCTTCATCAAATAGCGGGACTTCGGCATTAAAAACAACCGTTCTGGGCATGCGCTGCGCCAATTATCCAACCAGAAACCAGAATTTCTTGTGTAAGATAGAATTGCATATTCCGCCACATGAAAATCAGCGGAACACGAGACATGCGATTCACAAATTGCGTGAGTAATTAAAGCAATAAATTGCGTGGAAATTAGCTAATTCTGCAGGGTATCAGTTACTAGACCACAAAGAGGTCAAAGAGCAGACAGCAATATTGCGTAAACTTTAAATAAATGACAAATGAAAGTACTGAAAAATGATCATAATTAATGTTTAAATTTTCAGAATAAGCAAAGCTGTGATTTTGGGTTCACTATAAAACATTTACTCATTTTTTTGGAAATTGTTAGTCCCGCCCGGCGGGACAGCGGGACCGCTGGCTACGCCACTGTAAACCGTTGTAATTGTCACACTCTAATTATAGTGTGAATCATAGAGTGAATCATTGAATCATAGAATGAATCATTGAATCATAAGAGTGAATCATTGAATCATAGAGTGAATCATTGAATCATAAGAGTGAATCATTGAATCATAGAGTGAATCCTAGATTGAATCATTGAATCATAAGAGTGAATCATTGAATCATAGAGTGAATCATTGAATTATATAGTGAATCATTGAATCATAGAGTGAATCCTAGAATGAATCAGTGAATCATAGATTGAATCATTGAATCCTAGATCGAATCATTGAGTGAATCATTGAATCATAAAGTGAATCCTATATTAAATCAGTGAATCGTAAGAATAATCAGGAGTGGTTATAAATAGTAGACCAACTTAATATAATTTCATTCGGCGTTTTGACACAGAGCAGTGAACATGTCTCATTTTTGCACAGTTTGTAACAAATCATTCTCAACTTCAAGTAACCGTTCACGGCACCAAAATTCAGCTCACGGACCTGGCACTCTATCCCAGTCCAGTATTGTTGTCAATCGGTCCAGTGTTGTGCTGCATCCTTTCACATGTATCGTAGCTGGGTGCACCCAAAGCGGCAAGACTGTATGGGTAAAATCTCTCTTGGAGAATGCATAGAAAACTATAAGTCCACCTCCTCAACGTATCATTTGGTGTTATGGTCAATGGCAACCCTCCTATGTTGATATGATGAGAACGATGCCAGGAATCGAATTCAATCAAGGCATCCCCGAAGACATCGACAACGCAGATTACTTGGACGTATCGCGACGGAATTTGATTGTATTGGATGATCTCATGGCTCAATCTGGCAAAGATAAACGTATCGCTGATCTTTTTACGAAAGGAAGTCATCATCGAAATTTGTCTATCATCTATATTGTCCAAAATATATTTCATCAAGGCAAAGAAATGAGAAACATTAGTCTAAACGCGCATTATATCGTATTGTTCAAGTCACCAAGAGATAAACAACAAATTTCTATGCTTGCAAGGCAAATAAATCCCGGCAAAGTACAAGAATTTATGAGGAGTTATGAAGATGCTACGAGCCGACCTCACGGGTATTTGATGTTGGATTTAAAGCCGACAACGAGTGACCAAGATCGACTCAAGACAAACGTGCTTCCCGGCGAGATTGCGAAGTTTATACAAAAACAGTGTTATCGTCAACCACCGCTTGTAAATGCAATGTATGATGCCGAGCAGCGAATGAAAGAAATCATGGATGCACCACAGCTTAGCGCAGTGGAAAAAAGCAAATTATACTCTGATGAACTAAATCGGTTTCTCACATTCAAAAATAAGATGGATGTTCCGACTCAAGCTCCTGTTCAGACAACTCCATTCGTGCCTACAGAGATGCCACAACCCAATGAATCTGTCGAGATAGCACCACCAGTGCCTGCTACTCCTAAACCTAATTTCCTTACACCACCACCAACAGAAGAGGAACGTCCAAAACTCAAGCGCAACTTTTTCCACAATTGGGTAGACTCTACAGATTGGAGGCCCCAAGATTTGGCAATGATGACCCCTGAACAAAGAGAAGGTTAAGAATACAAAATTACTTCGCGAGAGACCGAAATATATTCCAGTGAAGGATGAAGATGTTGCAAAGTTATCCTCAGAAGATAGACAAGAATATGAAAACTCTTTAAAAATAACAAAAACAACTAGACGTTACGCTCTTAGAAGTAGACCGTACTAAATTTTGTAAAACGTTTTGAAGAAATAAATGTATTTAAAAACTGAAATATTGTGTAAATTTTTGCCGGCAAAGCCCGCTCTTTCCGCCCGCGCGATTTGTCTAACCCGCCCGCCTGATTTGTGTACAAATATGTTGTACTTTAATATATGCATGCACTCGCAAAGCCACGCGCCTGATTTTAAGGTATACACCTGCGTTAAAAATAATCCCTACCTATCCATCGGAATACACCTAGTTATGCAAATTCGTATTACCCTAATCCCCTTAATTTAATTACCTACACGCCTCCTAATGACTTAGCAACGCATAGCAACGTATATAACAACCGCATATTTGATAAAAAATATATTTATTTTTATGGCAAAGTATATTACAACTGTTCTAATTCTAACTTCTACTCTTGATAAGCTTTATTATGGTCATCTTAACAGTATATCTGTATGTAGGAGGTTTGCTAAAATAATCTTGAACAACATGCAAATATTGACCATAACAACGACGTTGACAACTCGGGATTAGGAACAGTTCAGTTTAAAATATGTCTTGGTTTTTGTGACGAATAGATTCCTCACTATGTAACATACGAAAAATCCTTCAATATACCTGTGGAAATTTATCTCTTCCGAGCAAAGGTACGATTAATTTCGATAACAATTTTGCCATGCGAGGGACACGAACTATTCATAGTAAGCCAAGATTAATCCCTCTATTGTATCACACGCGTGGGGGACGCTAAAAAATGCTTAGTCAGCAAGTTTCAACCAATCTTGTTTAAACTCGCCCGCGTGACGTCATTGCATATAATTATGACTATGGTAATGATGAGAGACGTCACTACGGACCCTCATTTGTGCGGCCCGCTTAATTACCTGCATATATAATAATGATGCGCCGCCCTGAATTTTTAATGTGCGCCGCCCCTGCGCCGCCCCAAAAATCCGGCCCGATCGGCCCCTATATTACTACTCAAACCATACAAGCTTTGGCTATTCTGAAGCGCTTATATGGTTCAGAGATGGTGCTTTTAGGGGTGGTCATTGGTAAGTGTGAAATGCCTGGCACTGATATTTCACAAGAAAATGACCATGCAATACTCATAGTTAAACGTCAATTTGTGGCTTACAACTTCAGATAAACAGCAGTGGACCTATATTACCTTTTTTCCTAACTTTGTCTGATGGAAACATAATTGGTGCTTATTTAATTATATTATCACTGTTTTGGTGTAAAATGGTTAATATTTTGTGACCGAAATAATAATTTGAAATGTAGCTACCTCCTGCAAATGGACGTATTTGGCCAAATTCTCCACTTTACTCCGCTGCTTATCGCAGATCTCGTTTAAATCCTTCCAAATATGCAATTCAGTTCAAACATAACGGTATCAAGCACATTTTAAACAAGTTTTAACTGGGTTTCAAGTAGATCCTTCGTAAAAAAATTCAACCCCCCCCCCTCCACCCCTGTCACGTTCCTAATACTTTGCCACACGAGATTTGTACGAAATGTTTTGAAAGACTCGTAAGCAACATCTTACAGGGTGATAAAATGCTGCATTTCGCTTTTTTATTTTTTTTATTTTAATACCCTTAACAAAGGGTTAAATTTGTCATTATCACTTGTCATAAGGCTTCGATGGAAGAAGAACGAGGCCAAAATGTGAACAACCGAATGGGATGACAAAATGGCGCTGAATTTGGACAAAGTTGAGGTTTTACCTTGTCGATGGTTAAACAGGTAGGATCTACTTCAAACCCAGTTAAAACTTGTTTAAAATGTGCTTGATACCGTTATGTTTGAGCTGGCTCCCAGAGACAGCCGGGGGTCCCTCAAGGGACGAAACTTGGTCCAATATTGTTCCTCATTATGATTAATGATTTCAGAGTAAATTCCCCAGGCACGAAAATGTGGAAATTTGTAGACGATGTCTCATCTTCTGAAAATCTTACATCGAACAGCTTCTCGGCCACTCAGTCAACTCTTGAATCTATCGATTCATGGGCAACTTACAATTGTATGAAATTGAATGCCAAAAAGTGCAAAGAGCTCCGGGTTTCCTTTCTTAAAGAAACCCCGCAGCTACCATCTTTGACAATTGATGGTCACGTGGTAGAAACGGTACAATCGCACAAAGTGTTGGGTTTAATTATTCAAAACAATCTTAAATGGGACGAGCAAATTCGATCAATTGTCACCAAGGCCTCCAAACGGTTATACGGTCTTTGCGTATTATGCCGCGGTGGTGTCCCTCCTGCTGATCTTACCAACATATACTTCGCTCTTATTTGTTCTATTCTGGAATACTGTTGTGAGGTATGGAATTACGCGATACCTCGCTATCTGTCTGACGAACTGGAAAGAGTACAAAAGCGTGCCATGCGCATTATCTTTCCTGGCCACTCATACGACGAAGCTCTCCAATTGGCTAATTGCACAAGCCTTAGCGACAGGCGAAACGAAACCTGTATAAATACCTTACAGAAGATTGCTAAACGAGCAGGTCCCCTTGTTGAACACGTGACACAATCCAGAGCTTGTGCTCAACAATGTTATATTAGAAACTTAAATAATCTGTCATTGTATAAATGCAGAACTGAACGTTTTAAAAACAGATTCTTTCCAAAAGCAATTGTTGAACTAAATGCCATGAAATAGAAAAAGGAACCTACCTTAGATTAAATGGTTAAATTTTAACAATATTCGTAACTTACTATTCTTAACTTACATATTAATAATATTCGTAACCTATTTTACCTTAAATTTTATGACCGTGTAAATAACTATAAACTAAATTTGACTTTGAATGTAAACACATTGTAATTCATTGTTTATGCGAAAATGTGTCATTAAACACCAAATAATAATAAAAATAATAATAATATATATATGGAAATTATATAATACACACTATGGTATGGTATGGAAATTATATAATACGCACTCTAGAACATTTTCATCTTAACATATTACAGAGTGTACAATAACACAATTGCAGCAAAAGCTTAACCAGTGCGCGAGGTGGAATTGCCCCGGGCCTCCACCTTAATAGGGCCGACAACTTGAGAGCGCGAGCCTAAAATTGAGTAGGTTCGTTAAATTGGTCAGAGAATTTTTGAAATTGAAGTCCCCATACAGTATCTCCACATGCAGTGTAGCTAAGATCTAGCTTAAAAATAATGATGTCATGGGGCCCCCAGGGAAGATTTGTCCCGCACATACAAAGAAACACTGTACTGTATGTATGATTTATTTCGTTGTAAGAATTGAGATTACAACACTTCAAAAATAGACTGTCCAAAAGTAATTCAAATTTACACACTAACATATTCAACATATACATATTAAAAGAAGAGAAGGAAGAAGAGAACGAACAAAGATACATGTAGACTAAATACACAAAATACAAACGGTAGAGGTAAATAGACACATGTACAGAAACGATGACGAACATAAAAGCACACGAGCAGACACAGACAGGCACGCAATTTGAATGAACATGCCCTGTGGCAGAGGCAATCGCGTACTAAAGCACGCACCATTTCTTGAAGTAAATAGGACTGGAAAACGTGTCAGGATGGACTTCTTTACATAGGGTTTGACAATACGATCTTAAAGAAAGAGGATTGAAAAGTGCATGTAGTTGCACAGTGAGGAGTTTGAAGGACAACACTAACAACCTGACTAAGTCGTGTACGACCATGTTCAACAAAAGAAACATGAGTCATAACTGTTCATGTTAATTTCAATATAGGACCATTCCATACAGTCCTACTTCGATTACTCTTCTCCCCTTTGGGGGGGTTGTAACAAAACACTAAGAGATAATTTACAAACGTTCCAAAACCGGGCTGCCAGAATAATAGCTGGCGCCAGTTATCAGGTCATATCTGCTAACGTTCTTCGAACTCTTGATTGGGAAAATTTGGAAACAAGATGGTACTTAACCAAGGCAACATTCTTATATAAAGTCTTGCTTAATAGTGCGGCACCAACTCTGAAAGATTCATTCTTAAGTAGAAATATTTTGCTAATTAATGATTCAAGCACGTTAGGTGAAAAAGAAAACAGCCGCAGAATAAGTAAAACACACACCAAATCATTGTGGGAGAGTGGGTTCAGGGTGAAGTGAACAAATTATATACATTATACTCTCAAACTCTGGTCAACCCAAAGACTCATTAAGCCTTATGTTTTCATCCCGCAGGGGTATATATAAGACCTGCTAGGAGAGACTGAATGCCCTAGGGGTCATAATCCCCAAATAGAGCCCTGCCAGAAGGGTAGCGAGCCCCTCTAACATCAACCTGAACCAAGGGGTCATAATCCCCTTGGACAGTCCCTACGATTCGAATGATTATATTTACATAAATAACTGAGTCTATGGGCCTGAAGTTGACCATTGGGAACACTTCAACCCCGAACCAAATTTATTTGTTTCAACATAAACCAATTTAAGTATTTACATACCGATAATTTTCCATGAGAAAATTGTTCGATAGTCTTTCTTGCGCCAGATACCAGGAACATACACCAATTTAAGTATTTACATAGCGATAATTTTCCATGAGAAAATTGTTCGATAGTCTTTCTTGACAAATTGTTCTTAAATAGTCCTTGCATAACATTAGTTAGTACCCATACAATGCACCAGATACCAGGAACCTAAACCAATTTAAGTATTTAGATAGCGATAATTTTCCATGAGAAAATTGTTCGATAGTCTTTCTTGACAAATTGTTCTTGAATAGTCCTTGCATAACATTAGTTAGTACCCATACAATGCACCAGATACCAGGAACAAAAACCAATTTAAGTATTTACATAGCGATAATTTTCCATGAGAAAATTGTTTGATAGTTTTTCTTGACAAATTGTTCTTGAATAGTCCTTGCATAACATTAGTTAGTACCCATACAATGTGCCAGATACCAGGAACATAAACCAATTTAAGTATTTACATAGCGATAATTTTCCATGAGAAAATTGTTCGATAGACTTTCTAGACAAATTGTTCTTGAATAGTCCTCGCATAACATTAGTTAGTACCCATACAATGCACCAGATCCCAGGAATATGAACGGGTGGGTGGGTGGAAATTTTCTTTCTCGGTAACAAGACATTGCTCTTTGTTGGTATATGTGTCAAAGTGAACTCCCTTATCACATTGACCTTTGTTCTGCGTGTTCGTTGTTGACATATGATTGGTCAGTTGATCTTTCATTCCGTTTACACATGCCCAGGGAAACATTTGAACTTTGGACTATTGGATATCGCCTTTTTGTGGCTGTCGACAAGCTTATCCTGTTACTATGAGATTATAACCAGGTTTGAAGGTGACAAACGTGTTGTCTCATTAACTTGAATTTATATATTGTTATATATAAATTTGCTTTAATGATTCAAGCACGTTAGGTGAAAAAGAAAACAGCCGCAGAATAAGTAAAACACACACCAAATCATTGTGGGAGAATGGGTTCAGGGTGAAGTGAACCAATTATATACATTATACTCTCAAACTCTGGTCAACCCAAAGACTCATTAAGCCTTATGTTTTCATCCCGCAGGGGTATATATAAGACCTGCTAGGAGAGACTGAATGCCCTAGGGGTCATAATCCCCAAATAGAGCCCTGCCAGAAGGGTAGCGAGCCCCTCTAACATCAACCTGAACCAAGGGGTCATAATCCCCTTGGACAGTCTCTACGATTCGAATGATTATATTTACATAAATAACTGAGTCTATGGGCCTGAAGTTGACCATTGGGAACACTTCAACCCCACATATACACAGCATGTGTATTCCCCATAGACGAACTCCCACCACAGC